GACTCCTCTACAAAATAAAGTGAATCCTTTTGTTATTCTATTTAATGTTCAAAGGCTACAATTCTGGACATATATTGTCATAGCAAGAAGTCTCAGTTGTTTCTTTAATCGGGGAAGAAAGCAATTTTAGATCAATTGTTCCCGAGGGGCTTCAAAGGCTCACAATGCCCCTTTTTAATAAGTTAGTTAGGACTTGCATGTATCTCCCCATTCAATAGGCTAAGCAGCTAGCACCTTTCCGGTCTTGGTTTTGTCTCAGCAGAGTGCGTGGATGGGACGCCGGGGACAGTGTCCCTTCCCCTATAGGTACTACGGTTTATGCCACTTTCCATTACTATTTTAAAAAAAACAGATACAGATTTACAGATAGTGTTTGTCCAAGTGAATGCTCTTAGTTAGGGTAGATTTTCAGTCAGTGTGTATTTTTCTTTTATGCAACTCATGCTCTCGAGACTCTGACTGTTTCCATTTTTTTCTAAGAAACAGTCTCTGTTGCACTTATCTACAACATTTTACAACTCAGACTGAAATATAATTTTTTAATAAGTAAAATAACATAGTAATATTAAACCCCTCATTAATTAGTACTCATATGTTACTGCATTATACATTTGTTCTTACATTGATAGCACAACCTATTGAAAATTGTTCATGTGTTTTTGCAATATAGATTGAATCTTGAAGAACCTTTTTTATAATGACTTGGTTCGAAATCATTATTACGGTGTATAAAATAATGTAATAGTTGATTTCAGTCTCATGTTTGGAACCCGATCTTATTATCAATTAACTATTTTAATTGTTTCGTACGTTTAGAACCTTTTGCATTGTTACTCATTGTCAATTACCTTTTTCCTTTTGACATTATTACAGGGTGCAACTTGCACAAATAGCGCTTCAAAGCTACAGTTTGGTCATAAGAGATTTTCCCTGTATGGGGCACTACTCGAGTACTCGCACAAAAAGTGCGATTTAGGATAGTACTCTCACAAAGACAGTACAAACTTTTTTGTGCCCATGTCAAACGCAGGAACATTCCGCAATCCGCATACAATGCCAAGCTTGGTAAAACCATCACCAGGAGGAGCCAAATAGCGGAGAGACAGGGAGAAAGCTGTTTGGTTCCACAGTAAATGGAACCCCAACGCTACTTATTACTACAAACTTTAAGCAAATTCAAAGCATGTTTTCCCATGCATTGAAGCTATTCAAGCCCCTGATTTCTGTATCGCGTATTTGCTTCTCATCTATCTCTTTTCCCCTCTCATCAAAATCCACAATTGTCCATTTATCCTATGCTTTCCAAGGTGGGAATTTTGCCCCTTTGTTGCAGTCTACTTATGTTAATCAGAATCTTTTCTTTCTACGCTCAAAACCCACTTCAGCAATCAGGTTCTTTCAATGGTCTGAGAATGTTTTAGGATACAGCCATTCTTTATGCTCTCATTGTGCCCTTATCCATATTTTGCTCTCTCACCGCTTGTTTGGCATTGCCCACCAGGTGTTTGAGAAAATGCTTCAGAGGCACTGGGAGTGGGATGTGTTTGGTGCTCTTTGTGACGGGTTTGGGGCCTATAATTCAAATCCCAATACGGTTTATAGCTTCTTGCTTTCTGGGTATTGTCAAAATGGGGTGTTTGATAAGGGCATTGATGCTTTCTTGAGGATGTCGAAAGCAGGAATTGACGTAGCTCCTCACGCATTGAGAACTATGATGGACTCACTGGTTGCTTCTCAGTGCATCGGTGCGATTGTGAGCATACTCGATGAAATTTGTGGTCAGTCTGGGAAAATGATAAAACAGGGGTTTAACTTTTATGCGTTTCTTGCTATGAGTTTTGTTAATCACCATCTCTTTGAATTGGTATTGAATTTTCACCGAAAGATGATTGATAGAGGTATAATGCCAGTTATTTTCGATTGTAATAAGATACTGAAGACTCTTTGTAAAGAGGAGACCTCTTTAGAAGCTGCCTCCCAATTCTTTCATACAATGTTAAAAGTTGGTCCAAGTCCTAATGTAGTGACATTTAGTACTTTGATTGACTCATATTGCAAAGCAAAGAGACTGGATGAAGCATTCAAGCTTTACCATTTTATGATGGCACGTGGTATATCTCCAGACTTGATTGTATATAGTATACTTATTGATGGTCTTTTTAAGAATGGAAAATTGGAAGCAGGGGTTTGCCTTCTCTCCGAGGCTTTGGAGAAGGGTGTCAAGTTAGATAGTGTTATTTTTGGCTCGATTATGGATTCGTTTGTGAAGGCGGGGGATCTGAAGAAGCTGATTGTGGTATACAATAAAATGCGTACTGAAGGTTTATCACCTGGCACAGTTACTTATGGCATTATAATAAATGGCTTATGCCAAGGTGGGCATGTACTTGAGGCTTGTGGGGTCTTTGGTGAATATGTGAAGCGTGGTTTGGAGCCATCTGAATGTGCCTACAGTTGCCTTATTGATGGCTTCTGCAAATTGGGAAATTTGAAAGAGGCATTTATCTGGTATCGAAAGATGCTAGAAAATGGCCTTCTTCCAGATCTCATCATTTATTCGATACTTGTTAATGGTCTCAGCCAACAAGGGCGGGTAAAAGAAGCTCTTCAACTATTCTTTCAGGCTACCATGGTGGGTATACAACTTAATGCATATATTTTTAATGGCTTGATCGATGGTTACTATAGATTGAGCCAGATGACAAATATGATGAGGCTGTATAATCTTATGCAAGTTAAGAACATACATCCCGATGTAGTGACTTATACTTTATTTCTCAAGCTCCTGGTTGATCAGGGAGAATTGGAGAAGGCTTTGGCTCTCTTTCTTCGAATGCTTAAGCAAAATGTCCCTTTAGATGCCATTGCATATTGCACACTGATGGATAGTTTCTGTCAGCTGAACAAAACAAAAACTGTCATGTGGCTGTTTCAGCAAATGTTGAGGAACAAGGTGAGCCCTGACATTGCAATATACAATGTTCTGCTCAGAAGACTTTTCAAAGACTTCCAGTTTGAGGATGCAATGAAACTTTTCCATAAGCTTGCTACCCACGGCCCCGAGCCTGACATTGTGACATTCAACACTGTGATATGTGGTTATTGCTTTTCAGATAAGCTGAACGAGGCAATTCAGCTGTATGAAACACTCTCGAACAGACCAGTTAGATTCACTGCCATCACTTTTAGTATTCTCATTGATGCCCTTTGTAAAAATGGTAGGATAAATGAAGCTGTACAGATGTTTAGGAGAATGCTAGAAAAGGGCATTGAGCCTAATGTGGTTACATACAGTTGCTTAGTTGATGGATACTTGAAATTTCAGAGCATGGGAAGTGCCTTTGAACTACTGGAAGAGATGGCCAGAAACAAGATTGATCCCAACATTGTCAGTTATAGCATCCTCATGGATGGCCTCTGCAAAAGAGGATTAATAGATGATGCTTTGAGTACTTTTCAATCTGCCATTAGCAACGGCTTATTACTCGATGTTGTGGCTTATACCATTCTCATCCATGGATGCTGCAGAGTTGGGAGATTAACTGAAGCCAGAATTCTGTATCAAAGAATGCTGGTCCAGGGCATGGTACCCGATCATGTGTTACAGAGAGTAGTTGCAGACTATCTTGGGGCTCAAAGTATGACCACCTACAAGGAACTTTCGTTTTAGCAATTACATCCAGGCTCAGATTGCTAAAGCTCAGTACTGCCTAAGGCAGTTTGATGTAGTTGAAGTAAATTTCAAGAGGTTTTAAGAAACGATCCATACAGAATTGATGGCATGGATATGTATTCCAATGTGCTATATGCTAAGGAATGTGCTTCTACTTTAAGCTACCTTGCCCACCAGGTGATTTTGATAGATAAATATTACTTCAACTTCATCAAGAGTCAGTCCTGTTGCGTTATTGGAAACTACTACAATTTGAAGGGGCAACATCAGAAGTCAGTCCTGTATTTTCAGAGGGCTCTGAAATTGAATAAAAATTAATTGTCATCATGGACGCTAATGGGTCATGAGTATATAGAAATGAAAAGCATCCCAGCAGCAGTTGATGCATATAGGAGGGCCGTGGACATAAGTCCATGCGATTATCGAGCATGGTATGGGTTAGGGAAAACATACGAGATGATGGGAATGCCCTTGTATGTGCTTCATTTTTGTAAGAAGTCGGTGTTTTTGCAACACAACGATTCTCATCTATGGATTGCCAATTGCCATGGCTGAATGTTACAAAACAGAGAAACTCAATATGCTTGAGGAGGCAATCAAGTCTTACAAAAGGGCAGCAAACTTGAATGATAGCAAAGCAATTGCACTTGACCAATTGGCAAAATTATATTTTCAACTAGGCCGTTCTGAAGAGGCAGCATTTTACTACAAGAACCATTTAGAGAGGATGGAATCTGAGGAGAGAGAAGGATCCAACATAGTTGAAGCCATACTCTTTCTTGTCAGATATTACAAGGATCAGAGGAGATTCGAAGAAGCAAAGGTCCATTGTCTCCGTCTTCTAGACTACAAGGGCCCTGTAAGTTACATTCAACTTCTTTGTGGAATTAGAAAATGTGAGAAAATGCAGCCAATAAATACTTCACTTTGCAAATAATACCCTAATATGAAAAAAATCCTAATGAACCAGCTGTAGTGTTTCTTTCCTCTCAATTGAACCATCAAATGCCACTTCCACTTTAAAATTCTTGAGTAGTGTACAGCTAGTTCTCTTTTTTTTTTTCAAGGAGTATTTGAAAGTTGAGACATGAGAGCATGAGATTACTATGTTATGACTATTGTTGTTGATGGTACCGGAACTAAAGAGGAAAAGAAAAAAAACTATTAGGCAAAGCAACATAACTACATATATTGAACATCACTTCTTTACTTTTCTTTTCATTTTTTCCCTGAATAAGTTATCTAAGTCATTAAAGTATTCACTATGTTTCTTAGTCTTCAAAAACATATAAGTAAAGAACAAAAAGTACTAACGTTAAGGGTGTCCATAGTTTTGGTTCATCAGCCGTCAATGCTTGGAATCAACCCCCCATCAAATGGGGTCCGGATCTAGTGTTTTTATGCAAGGGACAATAGAGAAGAACTTCTTGTATTCCCTTTGAAAAGAGAAAATGATTAGGAGTTCCAGTGTATATGGTCAAGGCTGAATTGGAAGAACACAAGACATTTAGGGTGGAAGTGACACTTGGTGGTTCAATTAAAAGCACAAAAACATTAAAGGTGATTCATTTTACATGTATATGTTTTAGGGGATTATTGCCAAACAATGATTTTTGTCAGCTTTTTCTCTAAATTTTTCGTTGAATTAAGTTAAATTTCCCAATTCCTTCACAGAGACACAACACAGACACAAATACTGTTACATATAGAACAAGCTCACTATGGTTTATGAGCTTCTTTGTGAAGGAAACTTGGGAACTTAGGCGGCATTCTAGCACTTGTTTTCCATCAAAATGCTACTTTGCTCCCATTCTTGCTCCCAACATTTCCCCATCTTGTCATAGACCCTACGCGTGTGAAATCGTGTTTGTGAGGTTGGGTGCAAGGTTGGGGGCATTGTTGTACTGCCCTTACTTCTTTACTCTCCCTATTTTTTTAGCCCCCCTGACACCCGACACCTCCCCTCCCCCGGGGTGATTTTAAACTGGAAAGTACTTTTATTTGTGGTCTTCAACATCTTTGTTATTGAAACAGGAGAGAGAACTGGCTAAAACTCTCCTTCGAGGAATAAGGGATGGAATATTGGAGGGATTTGGAGGGAAAGACTGGTGTGTTTGCATCTTCATTTGTATTTTAGATTATACATAAATTGGAAGATCATTGTCTCCCCCAACATTAGAAGGCTCAATAGCGCTATTTCCCACGGTTATAGTCCTTTTTCCGTTCAAATATTGTTTAGTGTTAACAGTGCCCAATATCTGGCATCCGTGTCTCTATTTCGTTGTGTGTGGCTCTATTGTTTCATCCGTATAATTGGCATTTGATCTTATTACTGTTTTTGCACTTTTTCTCATCATTTTTTGTTCTATCTTGAATCTTGATTACCACAAATTATGCAATATCGATGATTTAGATTCTTCCGCTATCTCTGCAAGGTAAACCACGTTACACTAATCTGGAATTTTTCTGAAATTTGAATTTATGGCCTTATTTTTCCCCCCTATTTTACTCCTAACACAAATTCCCCTGTGCAAATTTTTGGGGGAATCCAGAGTTAGTGGTGTGTGGTTATTGGGACTCGATTTACAAGAAAATCAGGTTAGTAAATGATAACATATTCCCAATATTTGATGTTTACTTCCTGATTTTACCTTTTGAATATGAGTTCTTTGATTTCAAAGCTGAGTCATATGCTTGCACTACATAAAAATTATGAAAAATTACCCAAAATAATCTCAACTTTACCCGGTCTTTCAAAAATAATCTCACCTTTCACTGTGATGCATAATAATCCCAACTTTAATGAAATTTGCCAGTTTTGGGTCGCCGTTAAGTTTCTAACGGAGGGTTAACGGAAATGCCCGTTTTAGGCAACAAAATAAAAGTTGGGATTATTTTTGATGAATTTTTGTTTTTTAATTTTTTTTGAAATTTTCATTTAAATTTTTTAAATTACTTTCTACCTCCATCATCATTTCTTTTTCCTTTTTTAAAGATGAGTCTTAGTTTAAAAAATAAAAACAATAGATATAAAAAATGAAAAAATAAGAAATGTAACTAAAATGATACAAAAATAATAAAATAAATAAGGTAATCAATGGAAACTAACTTGAAATTAGAAAAAGTAAAATAAAAATATACGGGTGGGTTTTAATATTTTAGGCATTATACAAAGTATTAACATATCACTTCTTATTTTTAAGAAAAAATTATCTACAATAATTCCAACTTTACCGGACGGCTTGTTCTTATAAAAAATAAGTAGTACATTAAGACTCCGTATAGTGTGTAAAATGTTAAACCCACGAATCCATATATATTTATTTTATTTCTTACCAGTTTCTGTTTAATTTCTATTGATTACATTATTTATTTGATTAATTTTGTATGGTTTTAGTTATTTTTCTCATTTTCATTAGTTATTATATCTATTTTTTTCTAAGGTAAGAATAATCTTTAAAAAAGAAAAAGAAATGGGGGTTGAAACTAATTCAAAAAATTTAAATTAAAATTTCAAAAAAATTAAAAAACAAAAATTCATCAAAAAATAATCCCAACTTTCATTTTGTTGTCTAAAACGGGCATTTCCGTTATCCCTCCGTTAGAAACTTAACGGCGATCCAAAACTGGCAAATTTCAGTAAAGTTGGGATTATTATGCATCACAGTGAAAGGTGAGATTATTTTTGAAAGACCGAGTAAAGTTGGGATTATTTTGGATAATTTTTCCTAAAAATTAAGCTCATACCTTCCAATGAACAACAAAAAATGCATTTCAAATACTATTTGGCGTTAGCTTTTTTATTTTAACTTTTCAACATGGGTCCTTGTTTGGTAGTTGCTGCATAGATATTAAGCTCATAATTATTACGGAGTAAAAGCTAGAAAATAGACCTGCTTGATTTTTTAAGGTTTTAAAACTTAAATTTCTTATTTGAACTAAGAGTGCTTCTATGGTGCACCTTGGTTGCATATTATTTTTGTGGATTTTCTCACATAAAAACTATTTTTTTATTTTGTTTTTTTATTTTTTTAAAAAATGCTCATCTAAATAGTAAGAAATTGCTTACTTGAGTCATATGTAGATCCACTTAGAATATGTCTTGAAAACTAATTGAAAACATTACACAAATCTTATTGGACTCTATAGCATTTATTTTCAAAAAAAGGTTGTACCTCTCCTCAAAGTGATACCTAAAAGTTCAATTCGAACAATAAGATCAGTAAAAAAGGAAAATATAGCTCTTCAAAGAATTTTATTTTCAAAAACTTTTCATTGTTGAGGTTCACGACAATCCTGGAAAACATATATTTGGATCACATTCAGACCTCATTCCCTTGCTTTCAATCACATTTACACTCTCTCTTATTTCAACCTACCTTTCCCTACCTTTTTCAATCACTTAACCTTCTCATCCCTCCTTTTTTTTCAATCACTTTTAATGACTCTCCTACTTCAGCCACATCACATCCAATTTGCCTTAATCTCTGTATTTTTTATTTGTGCCTTTAATTTCGAGATGGAGGGAGTATATACATACCCAAGGTGTGGTTCATGGGTAGTGATGGATATCAATTCAATCGTTGGACCAGGAGGACATAAAATCGCACTATCGCGGCCTAAGAAGGATAAGGGTGTAATACCCTAATCCGTCCAGGTCTGCAGCCCCTTTCAGACTAAAGTATTAACTTTGGAAATCATAAATTTAAAACGTTTCAAATGCTTTTATTCATCATAAATATTATTTAGTACATAATTGTAGCAAAATGCAGAGTGTTTAACAATAATGCGGAAGCAATTTAAACCATGTTTAATAACAACATAATTATTTATTTAAAATCACAAATTTCACCACGACAATCTCGCCCCTTGTGCTGCTAGGAACAAGCCAATCATTCATTCAGTCTACCTGCGTGTAGCAAATAAAACATACTACACGCTCAGCGATAAAGCTGAGTAAGCATATCTAAAGCGTCGAACATCCACATAAATTGAATCTCAATTCACAAACAACCATTTGATATCATGCACACAATATATAATTCATTCATGATATTTTCAATTTTTTTAATATTCAACATTCAATACTCAACAATATCCTTAACTAAGCTTAGTCTAAGGTCAAACCTTTGATGATTACCAACTCTTAAACTAATTCTAGTTCAAGGTACTTCTAACCAACTCTTAAGCTAGGTCATTAGTTTAAGGTACATATTCCAATTTATTTACCAACTCTTAAACTAGCCTTCGCTTAAGGTACAAATCCAGAAAACTGAACAGTAGATTACTAACTGTCAGGTTGGGTGGTATCCCCAAACGAGTTCCTCTAGTTTGGTTTATGGATCCCGTACGTACGTTTTACCCAAGGCCACCGAATATACGTTTTTATACTCGCAAGGCCCATTCTAATCAGAAGTCTATCTTAGAGGTCTTCTAAGCAGCCTTAATAGTATGATTTATTAATTCATTATTATCAACTTAACAATTCATGATCATCATT